CATGTAACACTTACTGTGCACAGTTTTTTATAAATCTTTTATAAATCTTCATCTTGACTGTTTCTATGGTGATTTAGTACAACAGAGATACGCATGTACAGTACATACAGACTGATGCACACATTAAACAGACTTCAACACACTGACAGCTATTGTGCCAAGTACATACCAAAACACACACAGGGTTTTGACATCGGTTCTACATTCTATTTAAAGGCGATGGTTGTTGCGCTACACATGTACAAAATTTGTGTTGATAAACAATGATTTTCCCACAATCCAATGTACTCTTTTAAGTAATCACAAGTATGAGGTTTGACCTAGGTGCGACTTACACTAATTACCACCGATGACTCCTTCAATGCCCTTCAATCATCTATAAAAATACCCAATTGAAGCTTGGTAACGTCTCAGTTTATGCTCGTTGATCTGCACAGTCAAACAGTCAAAGTCGCCATCTTTGCGTTTTTATGAGACTCTTATAACTCAAGCATGTGTGGCGTGACGACTACCACCCTTTAACTTACCAATCCGTTGCCCGCTTCAATATCATTTTGAGTGTATGTATGTTTTCACTTCAAAATCAACTTTTCATATCGATTTTCTATACATGTATACCATGTGCACACTAAAAAAAGTAGTGTTGACAGTTCAAGTTTCACCTTGTAATTAAAAAGATTAGAATCCCATAATCTTGTATTTACACCAGCAATTCTTCAAAAGATGTAATTTCGGCAGCCACTGTCCACAATGGCTCTCATTCTTAGATAGGCAATGTTTTGGTTGACAATATATTTACTCTTTGAATAAACCGGTTATTTCAATACTTCATGTCTGACCGTATGCGCCTCCTGCACTCCTTCTCCAGTGATGTATGTTCCATCCAGTGGAAACGTACACCACCGGACAGAGTTGCATGTTAGATGTGTGGAGGCAATGCGCTGGTATGCATTTTGTTCGTTACTCATGCGTTCTTTATTCTGTACTTGTCCGTTCTTATCCAGTGAACCTGATACATGGCCGTATCCATACCGGACATCGAACGAATGTAACGTTTCTTCAACGGTTGGTTGTCATGTTACCAGACGAAATATGTGCATTGAACAGTCAAAGAACATTTTGCCAGGTTTGTTTGCATTGATTATGCGGTCAATGTGCATTTTGCGTTTTTAAACACTGACCACTGACACAGCCGAGGATGTTTTTGCCACCGGGTAACGTTTTATTTATACATCCGATAACGGCATCCGTAGTGCAGTGTAACTGCTACATTAAAATTGAATGCACATTGCTAGCCTACCTACTTTGAAATAAGATTAACTTGATTGTGGTGCTCAAATTCATTTCTAGAATGCCAATACACTTACAACACCCCTTGTGAATGGTTTCCTGTGTTACATCCATCTTATATTTAAGCTTCTTTACATTGTCGTAACATGTTCTAATCTGCTTTAACAGCAGCAGAACTATGAGGTAAATGTAATAGTTATGTCTGTGTTGATACTTGCCCTTCGAGGGGGTTTAAACTCTTTCACGTTGGTGTAACAATGTTCACATCTGCTTTTCTCTTACCTTGACAAAAGTTCATAAAGGGACACAAAAACAGATGTGAACATGGTAACTGACTATTACTAATCAATACACTGTCAAAATAGTAGATATACCCCAGTATATGTATGTGTATTATTATTAAAGGCCTATCTATCAATCCCAGGCCAGGCAGGTTTCAAACTGGCATTCACGATGACAAGAGCTAAACCCTTTATTTTGCAAAAAAATTGAATTTAAATACATTCAGGAGAGAACACTACTTTGAAAGAGCACGCAGAAAAGAAAAACAATTGTGAAACAAAATACCGTTAGTGCACATATCAAATCAACAAATGCTGTCAGTTGGCTGCAACAATGTGCACATGGGATAAAGGATTGTCTTATCAAGTTTAAACACAATTGATGACAGTGTTTCTGTAAAATGGATATAAGAATTTCGTTATATATTGGAAGATTGAACATTAACAGCATTTACTCACCACATGTTGCCTGACTGTTTAGGGGACACTGTCCCCATAAGACGTTATAATGTAGAAGTGAACTAGTCAGTAGAACAGTTGGTCCTTCTCTAATACAACCAATAAATTTATTAACACTAATAACTGATTCAGCACCAATGATCAATGGTCCTCCATTTGTCAGATCTAACATTATCAAATCACTGTTTAACCCATCTTCTTCAGCTATGACTGCTTCATAATTCCCGGCCGTCAATATCACTTCACCCAACTGGTAACGCAAATTTACAACTTGCCAAACATTATTATTCAAACCACTTCCGATTGTAATATTTCTCCACGAGGTAGTAGAGCGTGTTTTCCAGAAAAATGTCAAGTTTCCATTCATGCTGTCTAGTTCAATTTTAACACTTTCTTCTCCTTTTTTCTGATACAACAGCACTCCACCGAGGCAGGTTTTGAAGCTGAAACTTGTATGGTTTTTGATATTTATGTATTTATTCAGAAGGGCATATGCAGTGCCATTGAAGTAACCTTCACCATTATAACCATAAATATCACCAAACAGACCTGCAACAGACAAAGAAATGCAATGAGTCAACTAATCAGCAATAAAGTTTGTTATGCGCTCACTGATGTACTAATGTTAGTATTCATGTAACTAGAGATCAGAATGTGAATCGGATTCTAACAGTTTCGTTGAAGAAAATCAACTACTGGTATGACTTTTTGGCTTCCTATTAAACAAGCCCTTTTGTTACACAAACTAAGTTCCTCAGTCGATGAATAAAGTTTCACATTTATTGCTTTTCATGCTTTCATTTGACATTTTAACCACACATTTAACAACCACTTTGGAAATCTAAACATACTAGCTGGGAAAACACTGACTGTCTGCGATGTTATTCCTTTTTAAGGATCTAACAAAAAAGTTACCATAGCAGAGCTGATTAAATCCACAGTAAGCGGTGGTGAAAACCGTGATAAAAATATGCAGTGTGAGTATTGGTGATGCAAATGTGATAAATGGAGGAAACAGGAAGCAATTGCAATAGTTTGTTGACAAAAAATGTAATAAACGAGCAAATGCATGTGACAGTTTGAGTGAAGGCCATACTGTATCTGGATATCCATTGCTGCCCATAAATCAGCTAATCTCCAAATTTGTATTGAGAAATATTCGGGTCAAAAGCTCACCCCACTAACTTGTAGGTATGCACAAAAGTGGAAGTCTTGATGTAAAGTTTCTGGTCTATTTGTTTTGCATTTTTTTTTTTTTATCAGGAATCCAAGCATTCAGTGCTAGAAGGCTTAATGTTATTGTTCTGTTTTCTATTGTTCTCTTCTTCCTTTTTTCGTCTATCTTTTTATTTTCATGACCTGGTTTGGGAAATCAGAATGGTTTCCAATTTTCTATACTAATAGATACCAATGTGAATTTGTGCCTCCCACTTCATAGAATTTTGATTGCTCAATTAGTTCTACAGCTATATTTGTTTGAACTTAAACAAAAAGTAGCATTTTAGAACCCTTTATCAGGGTAGACATTCTAAATTTTTTTTTGTAGCATTATTGGGATATGCACTACCTATTTTACAAATAAAAACTTTGGGAGTCATGTGACATTTTCAGAGAAACAGCAAAAATGCTTGCAAATCTGTCATTTACATTTATTTTATTGATTTGAAATTTGCCACTGAAATAATTCAGATCAGTCACATGGTTTCACCCCATCTTTGAATCTTGAAGATTTTGGGAACTTTAATCGATCAACTTGATGTTTTGAGTGTAGAATGTATGACATAGTGTTAACACAAGCTTTTCACAAAATAAATAAAAAATAATGTGCATTATGTATTTATGGAAAAGAATGGCCACAGATTGAGGCATTTATTGACCATGAATGATTTATTCATCGACATATTTGCATGCACATGTAGCATACATATATGGCTAATGCTTTTAATAATATGAGTGAAATGTCTTAGATTTCTTGGATTTCTAGCAACCTGATATTCTGCATGCAACATGTATGACCAAAGCTTCTTACTGGAAAATAAAATAGTTCAGATCAGTCATGTGATTTGGCCACCATCTTGGATATCTTGTAAAATTGTTTGGCTTTTGTTTTTCATAAGTGCTGAACGGATCAGCTTGGTATTTTGCATGTAGCATGTCCGGCCAAAGCTTCTTAAAAGAAAAAGAAAATATTTGCATTGGTCATTATCTTGAATTCCTTGCAAAAGTGGTTTAAAATTTAAGCATTTGTTTAAAATCAATGTTTTTACTGATTGATTTAAAATTTGTTTTGTAGCATCTGAGGTCAGAGTTTCTTACGAGAAAGTACCGGTAGTTGTAATTGATCTTACTGAAAGTAGATTTGCCTCAAACTGGAAGTGCTCGATTTTTCATTCTTGTAACAGTCCATGAGATCTGAATTGGTGTATGCGGCATCTTTACCATCATTTTTACTTTGATGAGTAAAAGCCGAATTCGGCATATATCACCTATGTCGTGAACATTAATATTATATAGTTATTATTGTTATATTCGATGTTACAGTGATACCATCGATATCCAAGTGTAATGCATAAATTATGATAATTAGGGTCAATCTACGTCCACACGTGGTCGGTATTGACTAATCAGTGTTTGTTTTACTTCTGCTCACGTGCAGTTCAATTTCTGTTTTTACCGTGTTCCTGTTCCAGTCTGACACTCTCTTACTGCTCTATTTTAGTGGAGTTGTTTTGGAAATAAATAGTATACAGGTTGCGTATTGTATTGTATCGTTAACGGAAGATCTAACCGTCTAACTACTACTTTAATAGGAAAGAAAGTTGTTAATGGGGAAAAGCAAGAGTTACATATCAAATGACGTTTTCATTTCTTGATTAAAATTTTATGATTATAGTTGCCAAACTTTTTTATTATTACATCATCTTTTTCATCAAGAAATTAAATTTCTGGAGATCATCCTGTGTTTCTTGTGGAAATGTAATGTAATGTCTTGTATGATTTGTTGGCATATTAATTTATATTGAGAGCATATCACAAGGAAGTGCAGTTCATCTTCCTATTTATTCTGTGTACCGTACATTGTTTGCAATGAGTCAATTAAACTGTACTTGCAATGTACAATATGGCTTTTACTTTGACTCTTGTGAAGTCGCTTGCATCTTTCAATTTTGGCATCAAATCACACTTTTATTTTATTTTTAACTGACGCTTACGTCAACCAGAAACACTTTCATGTAAATCCCATTTAGAGGCCTTATAGTCTGTGTAATGTATTTAGCTGTGACCTTGGCACCAACTAAAATTTCACTAAATGGATTATTTGCATCCATCCATAGTATACTTGAGTACAATAGTCTAGTGTGGGAATGTTTAAGCTATTTACTAATAAGTGTTGTTATTGAAAGTATTCAGTAATTACACTCAGTAGCAGGAATGTGAACCCATGATGATATGTACAGAGAGAGAGAGAGAGAACCCTCTCAATATACTCAATACACTAAAAGTGTATGCACAATAAAATGGCATACACAAGTCAATACCGGTAGTAATGTCAAACAAACTGTTTTTGTGGTACGCATATGGCTAGGCACATATGGGAAAATTCAATACTCGGGCACACCCTCTAGGGGAAAATCACAAAGTTTTGAAAGAGAGAATCCATTCAAGTTCACATCCCATAAAGTAGATATTAGAAAAAACAAGGCTGATTTGTGATCCACTTGGGACCCTAACAATAATTTGTTTTGCCATGGCAATGGTAGGAAAGAATTTTTGTCAAATTTCACTTAATTAAAGTGCAGGTACAATTAGCCTAAGTTTGAACCAAGTTTGGTTCAGGCAAAATAAAATCACAGAAAAGTTAATACGTAAAAACATACAGACAAACCAGTAGGCTGAAAGGCTATCGGCTAGGCCTGACAATACATACATTGAAACAACAGTAGAAAATTACTTAAAGCGAGAGGGCCGTCACATGCGCATGCGCGGGAATTGAGTCCCAAGCGACAATAACAACACGCGTTAAAAAATGCAAAGGCTCATGGGTAGACGCTTGTTTGTAAACCATGACACACCTTGGCACTCAGTATGACTCAGTATGAATGTTTTATAGATGTGAACTTAAAGATTTGAAATATTTTGTCATTCAAAAATATGGTGTAGTTATTGAATGTATTCAGTAATGACACTAAGTAGCAGGTACATGTATGTGAACCCAGGGAGAGAACCATCTCATACTAAAAGTGTACACACAATGAAATGACATACAGAAGTAAATACTGACCCAGTGAAAGCACTGTTCTTGATTCAAAAACAAAACTCAAGCAAAGTATGAATGAGATATGTCCAAAATTTACTCAAAGATTTATTTTGCGTGACGCCACGGCCAAAAATATTCGGGTTCATGGCTACGGAAGACAGGAATTTTTTTAAAATATCCAACTAACAGTAGGTGCGGCATCAGGTCACATTTTTTTGGAAATGAAGAAAGATATCAAAAAACCAAATAGTAACTTTAAGCACACACTCAAGCAGAGTAGAGTGAGATATGTCCAAGATTGTGTGTGCGAAGATAAGAAAAATTCCATAGATGAGTCAGGAATGTTTTTCAGATTTTTCCACTTGTTTAAACATAATCAGCCCAGCAAAAAAAATCAAAGAACAGTTGATACATAGATGTGGACAGACACAAAGTCAGACAAGTAGACATAGTAATTATAATTGTAAGGGCAATCCCGGCTCAGGGAGTGATTTGGCAAAAAATCCAGCAAGTTAGACTTAAAATAATGAACTAAACAAAAACATTTAAGCATTCTGTTCACGTTACTAAGTGATAGTATAGGTAATATGACATCAAGCATGTTTGTAAAACAGTGACATGAGTTGCAGAGCTACTACATGCTCGTCAGAATTTCCGTATTCCATTATTCCTAAACAATGTCCTTTGTACTTTATGCAATAAGGCTATACACATATGTATTCATACTGGATGGGTGTGTCATCATACTAGACGAAATGTGAATGAAACATGTAATTGTATATTTTGTTTTAATTTTATTTAAATAAAATATAAATATATATCTAAGCCTATTGGGCTGTTTATTTTAAGTGTATCAATATTAAAATGTCAAAGGTGAAATCACCAATTTGTAGAGGTGTGAACAGGAATTACTTTCTTAGGCCTAACAAAAATAATGTTGTTTCACCACTTCACATCTATCTCTCTGACAAATTAAACGTGTAACATTTTGGGCCGTCAAATATTTCAGCAAAAAAGCAACATTTTTTATTAAACCATAAACATTTTTTTTGAAAGCCTTATTTAAAATT